TTATTTCTTTGGCCAGCTTCCTAACCAATTCCCAATTCTTTTTCTTTAGTAAGATTATTTCCCCTAGATTATTTTCATTTGGATTTATTCCTAGTTCGTTCCATGTAGTTGTTCTTTCCTCTTCCCATCTGTGGCAGTGGAAGAGGGTGTGCGCTGGGGTGTCGACTGTTTCGCAGTGTATACATATGTTTGTTACTGATTTCCCGATTCTCTTTGTGTAATTTCCGAAACACCCATGACCAGTTAGGAACTGCGTTATGTAATAATCCAGGTTTTTGTGGTCGCATTTGTACCACTTTATTACATCTGGGACAATTCGCTTTGTCCATTGAGGTACATCCGTTGTGTTATGCCACTCTTGCTGCCATTCTCGAAGGCTAACCTCGCGCTGTATGCTCTTTGCCTCCCTACCATTCTCACTTCTGTGTATCCTACCTCTTTCGGATACTTGTAAGTGTATTGGTACGGTGCCAGTGATGACTTGTATTGCCTTTAGTGATGTCGTTCGATAGGCACTGGCGACCCTCAATGCGACCTTCCTCTGTGTCTTCTCTAACCGTTTCCTATAGGTCCCGATATTCACAGCTTTTTCCCATATAGGCGCTCCGTACAGTAAGACAGAGTGTACTACTCCGCTCAGTAGCTCTCGCTTCTTGCTCTGAGGGCCGCCGGTATTCCTCATCAGCCTAGATAGGGTTCCTACTCTTGCCTCAGCTTTATCGACTGCTATTTGGATATGTTTTCCAAAGGTACCTATGTCGTCCAGTACAATTCCCAGGTACTTTAGTTCCCTTTGAGGCTTGAGCTGTGTTCCCTTGAGCAGGAAGCGCGGTCTCTCTCTCTCGGTTTTCTTCCATGGTCCTTTCAATATTACCACCTCAGTCTTTTCCGGGGCTAGCTCCAACTTGTGGTCTTCCATCCATTTTGTAATTCGGGTTAGTGCTAGATCCGCCCTATGTTCTAGGTGTTGTCGGTCCCCACCCCTAACTAATATGGCCAGGTCATCCGCAAACCCGATGGTCGTTGTCCCTTCGCCAAGATCTATCCTCAAGGCGCCATCGTACAAGATGTTCCACAACGTGGGTCCCAAAACTGAGCCCTGTGGGACACCAGCCGTGACTTTTGAGGATTTCCCGTACACCGCGATTTCTCTGTCTTCCAGGTAACTTTCCAGTAGATTTTGCAGGTACAACGGTATTCTTCTTCTTTTAAGCTCATCCGTTATTAGATCCCATGACGCCGTATTAAACGCATTTTTAATGTCTAACGTTATCATTGCTAGCCACCTGCCCCCTCCTTCTATCGCTTCCGTTCTTACTTTCTCGACGGCCTGTATTGTCGATCGCCCTGTTCTGAACCCATACTGATTCTCGGCTAGACCTTCTCCTTGGTTGATTACGGTTTCCAATCTACCTTTTATCAGTTCTTCGTAAACTTTACTCATTGAGTTCAGTAGGCATATGGGTCTATAGGACGATGGATGCCCTATCTGCTTTTTCCCCGGCTTCTGTATTGGAACCAATCTCGCTACTTTCCATATCCTTGGAAATTCTTGTTTTGCTAGGTAGCTATTGAAAATGCTTATTAGTAGATTTGGGACAATTCTTCCCACTTCCTTTATTGCCTCCATAGGGATTTTATCAGGTCCAGGCGCTTTTTTATTCTTAGCCTTTGTTAGGACTCTATTTAATTCTGGCTCGGTGAAGAGGGTTACTTCCGCCGACGTTTCTTATTTTTCATCTGTGGGAAAAGTTGTCTAGCAATCTTTATTTTCTGTTCCACACTTAGGTCCGATGGCGTTTGGATACCCAGCCTCCCTGTGACGATCCGGTAACCGTCTCCCCATATGTCCTCGTTGAGTTCCTCACATATGTCATCCCAGTGCTGTTTTTTGGATTTACTTATAAGCTTCTTAAGTTCTTTTTTCTTGTCCTTGTACCTATTTCGGGTCTGTACTCGCTCTTCTTCATTGTGGTATATTCTTTGGGTGAGTCTTCTCAGCCTTAGGGTTTCTCTCCTTTTATTGTGGATGTCGTTGTTCCACCAGAAGGGGTACTTTCTAGTCCTGCCGCTCTGAATAATACAGTCTTTGTATGATCTGTTAATGAAATTGGAGTAGTCGTCCGCCGTATCTGTTAGTATTTCTGCTCCTAATTCTAACAGGTTTTTGAACGCCTCCCAGTCGACTGTCTCCGATACACGTGTCTTTCTCACACTTATTTTTTCTTTGACGTCGAAGCAGATATATTGGTGGTCGCTTAGGTTCTCGTCATCTAGAACTTTCCAGTCATAAATTTTCCTCGCAATCCTTCTAGTGGATAGCGTCACATCTATGTGGGACTTCTGATCTCCTCTTATGAAAGTGGGTTTACCACCAGTGTTATTCACCACTAAGTCACATGCCGCAATTGCTTCTGTTAAATAGTCTCCTCTTTCATCAGTCGTTGGTGATCCCCATTGTGGAGATTTAGCGTTTACGTCGCCAAGGATAATGTTTTCTTGTCCGGATGCATTACAGAAATCCATAATTTCATCCGTTCTCTCGGTAAATGTATCCATACCGGAATTCGGCGATATGTACACCGCCACAATGATGAAACCATCCAACTGTAGTCCTAGGTACCCTTGATGAGGAGAGATCTTATCTATTCGGATTGCGCGGTTTCTTAGATATACTGCAACGTCTTTATTTTTATCGGATATCCATCTAGGAGAGTTTTCAACATGCTTTTTGTTGGGTTCGCTGATTACCAATATATCTGCCTCGTATTCTGCCGCTGTCGCATGCACCAGGTCCATTGCCTCCCTTGATCCATGGAGGTTGGCCTGCAGCACCCTGATAAATGATTTTATTAGTTCCCTGATGCAGTTATGGCACTTGCCACACTTGCCAGGCTTGACACGCTATCTCTTCTCACCTCCATTCCTATGCGTCTGCTTCTAGCCGCTGTTACCAACATCTTGAAATGTGGGCACTTTATTTGGTCCGCCCTATGCCCCTCTTTCTGGCATTTTCTGCAGAAAGCCTGGCTTTTGCACTCCTAGGCGATATGACTTATTTGGCCGCATTTAAAGCAGGCAACCTAACCTAACCTAACCTAACTTAATCTAACCTAACCTAACCTAACCTAACCTAACCTAACCTAACCTAACCTAACCTAACCTAACCTAACCTAACCTAACCTAACCTAACCTAACCTAACCTAACCTAACCTAACCTAACCTAACCTAACCTAACCTAACCTAACCTAACCTAACCTAACCTAACCTAACCTAACCTAACCTTTTTTTGTGTGTCATCGGCTTCAACTGCTAAGGTTATTTCGCCTCGTGTTCTGTGTAGGCTTTGTTACTGTTTCCCAGCGCCACTTTAGGAACAGCACTGTTAATTAGAACCCAACAGTGAATGGTCGAGTGAACCTAACCTAACCTAACCTAACCTAACCTAACCTAACCTAACCTAACCTAACCTAACCTAACCTAACCTAACCTAACCTAACCTAACCTAACCTAACCTAACCTAACCTAACCTAACCTAACCTAACCTAACCTAACCTAACCTAACCTAACCTAACCTAACCTAACCTAACCTAACCTAACCTAACCTAACCTAACCTAACCTAACCTAACCTAACCTAACCTAACCTAACCTAACCTAACCTAACCTAACCTAACCTAACCTAACCTAACCTAACCTAACCTAACCTAACCTAACCTAACCTAACCTAACCTAACCTAACCTAACCTAACCTAACCTAACCTAACCTAACCTAACCTAACCTAACCTAACCTAACCTAACCTAACCTAACCTAACCTAACCTAACCTAACCTAACCTAACCTAACCTAACCTAACCTAACCTAACCTAACCCAACCTAACCTAACCTAACCTGTGGTTTTAAGTGTACAGGAAGAACCAAAAACATCAGTTCCCAAGTTTTCGTTACACAATAATATAAGCGTAAGATCTGTAAGGAGGATTCTGCAAGTCAAAAAATGTCATTCCTATAAAGTGCAATTACATCAAGAATTGAATGAAGATGACCCAGACAGGCGAATGGAATTCTGTCAGAAAATGATGGATGCCATTTAATGGAAATACTATGTTGTTTTTTCGACGAATTAACATTTTGTCTCAGTGGATTGGTCTGATAATAATCCTCACTCAATATCCACATAAGTTAATGTTTGGGATGGTATAGTTAGAAGAAGAATTATTGGACAATTCTTCATGAGAGGAACTCTAAACGGTGATCGTTATTTGCAACTTCAAGGGCAGATAGTTCCAGAGTTAGTTTGTTTATATTTAAATCATAGAAATTACTTAGAACTTTCTAATGAGATTTGGTTCCAGCAAGATGGTGCTAAAGTGAGGCAGAGATGGGTGTGCCAAAGAGGACATATTGAGTGGGCGGCACGGTCACCGGATTTATACTTACTGGATTTTTCTTTGGGGCCATTTGAAATCAGTAATTTATAAGAACCTGCCACATTCGCTGGAAGAATTGGAAGATAAAATAAGAATTGCTGCTCAAGAAATAACACCTGAAGTTTATCAAAATGCCTTAAGATCATTTGTTGATTTGCAAATTGCATATTGCATATTGCAAATGGCAGTTGGAGGCTTTTACTTCGAACACTTAATTTGAATTTGTGTACTTTGATAAAAGTAATTATTTTTTATTAAATAAATGTCTATTTTCTATTTTATTATGAACTCGGAGATTGTCAAACCCTACATTGATGTATTCAGAAAAAAAAACTATCCAAAAAAAATATAAATACATATGGGGTGATTCATGAAAATCCCTAAGCGTCATTAAATAGTGCGTAAAATATACAAAAAACTTTATTCTGGCAAATTTTTAATTCAATCCATAATTGAGCAACAAATCGGGTTTTCCGCTACTTTTGCCCAACCTTGTATATCTGTAATACTTTCTGAAAATAGCTTTGTAAAAATTAAAATAATTTTTTACAGTCTCGTTGTATGTACTTACTCTGTGCGAAGTATCGCCTAATTTTGTGATAGAGTCATTAACGTCTGGTACTTTAATAATTTGGTCGAAGAAATTGTGCAAAAAATCCTCGTTAGAAGATAATTTAATAGGCTCACAATTAATGCAAGAGTTGTCCTGCCATCTTGGAATCATTTTAAGTCGTTCCATAAAGTTTTTGGTATTGCGTAAGAGAACATTGTAAATTTCCGTGGCTGTTGGTCTCAACAGAATCTCTGGAGTAACTACTACAGCATCAACATGAAACAGAGGCTAAAATGGAGAAAAATAATGTATAATAAATATTTCAACAGATAGAATAAAATGGAACTGGAACTAAAACAATAATCGAAATCAAAAAAGCGGATAAACAGTAAGCAGCCCGATGCAAAAAGTAGTAAACACAAAGACGCAGGTTGAAAAAGAAATAAACTAGGACGCGAAGTTATGTATGGGCACATCTTATTCAATACTAGCTATTTATTTTGGCACCAGTACAGTGCCCTTTTAACTACAAATCCGGAAGGCGATGATGTTCGACATAATTGCTAGAAAGAACGAGAAAACCACATCTTGTACTTCGTTGCTTTTTTTTGCAGCGAACGTCGATTTCTCTTCCTTCGAATCTTCATCCCTGCAAATGCGGAGTTATCTTCCGTTCAGCAAGAGCGAATACTGGACTGTAGATTAAGGAATTCGTAGAATGTATGAAGTTTTCGTGATGCTCTGCTTAACACCTATTGGGAGTGTTGTTATACAAATTATTTCTTCAGCTAATTGGTTTTGTTCAAAACAATAGATTTTTTATTGTCTACAACCACCACAGTAAATCCTCTATTATGTATCATTTTGTTTATAAGTAAATACATCATTACAGATACTGCTACGTAATGAAATCTCCTAATTATTACATTACATAATAGTTTTATTTATCAAACTATCCATATTACTCCATTGCTAGGTGATCGCTATGATTACGATAAATAGTATTTCAGAAAAAGAAAAATCGCCATTTTTGTAGTTACAAAATTATTTTTTAAAGAATAAAATGATTTCGTCAAGAAACTCTTCTTGATTTCTTGAAATACTTTCTAATACTACTAACAAGTTACTGCCCTCAAAATCTAGGGCAAGTTACGAAATATTATTAGACCGTCAGATAGTGACCGATTTAGGTGCTCCATTTTCTCATACAGGCCTCGAAAAGGGTTGAAAAGTACATTGATGTTGAGTAGAATAAAAGAAAATTTACGAGTGGCTCGTGGGGATAACACATGGAAAACTCGATTTTCCTTATCAGAAAAATTTTCCGACCCCAAAATGCACTTATACATTCGGATCATTCAAGAAAATATATTTTTCGGACTAGTGACGGCGTACGTTCATGGGCAGGAGGGGGGCATAACTGGTATTAACCGACAAAAATCAAGCCAAATCTGGTACTTTACAGGAAGAGCCAGAAGATTTTGAGACGAAAAACAAAAGTAATAGTGACTTTGAATGCGACCTGGGAACGCCAAAACCATTCAATCAAGATGATTTAAACGACTTAATTAGAGATTTGGGACTGTCAAAGTTAGCTTCAGAAATTTTGGCTTTAAGGCCAAAAGAAAGAAAATTAGTAACGAAAGAAACTAAAATTTCTTATTACCGCACAAGAAAACAAAATTTCCTCAAATATTTTGCTGAAGAAGACAATTTCGTATTTTGTAAAAATGTACCTGGATTGATGGCTGCAATGGGATTACAAAATTATATTTCTAGTGAGTGACGTTTATTCATAGACTCGTCAAAACGGAGTCTAAAATGTGTTCTTTTACACACATGATGGAGCATTCAGAACAGTTCTATGGGTTCAACCTCTGCAAGGAAGTTTTATAAGAGAAAGTTTTTTTCACCTTAAGAATTAAATAAAATATGATTAACTTTGAACGAATTGTTTTTACTATGAACCGGCCATATTTTCTAAACTAGAGCTAATACAGAAATTTAGATTACAGATTTGAAGTCTTCATTAAAAATTAAGCTAGTGTCATGTAACATAACTTAATCATCAGAAATGCTGTTGTGCAGTGTTATAGGCTCATAGAATTACTGCACCCGCCACCCGCCGCTAACGCTGCTCGTGTCCAACTTTTCTACTCGCATGTAAGTAGCGTCTTACTACTGTTATGTAATATTACATTACATTTTTTGCATTACCTATTATAAGTTCATAAAATGTATAATGACTGTGCAGGTTTAAAACATTTAATTTGTTTTAAAATAAAGACGAAGTGCTCGTGAATGAATAAGAGATGTTATTAAGTTGATGGTCGGAGAGAGTTTCCTAGTTTTTAGTTTGTTTGTCGAGCGTGAAAGCTTGTATCATGTGTCCTAGTGTGATTGGTCGGGGGACCGACCGAAACGTGACGTATAGTTTTATGATTAGCTGTAAAGGCAGGTACAGATCTGAGCACGTACGTGTATGAGGCAAGCCGAGACCGCACCGAATGCCTCGTGCGGCGCTATTTGTACACACGAATGGTATACGCACGAGGCACTGTTCGCTACTGATCCAGTGAATTCGCGAGCACGAAACCGTACACCCAGAATACTCGTATAATTAAAACAAAAATGGAGGTCTGGTAGTTGAGTGTCTGTTTTATTATTTTTTCTTGCTCTCCATAAAATATATCGCTGATTTTATACTTCCAGGAAAAGCAAAACCTCCCAGGCAGCACACTTTGGTATAAATTACGTTTTTTTTTTTAGGTACTACCATACGTATGAATACGGTTGATGTACTACCAAATATATTCGTGAAAATGTCCGCCTTATAAACGTCGATTACTAAGAATTTATCCACTTATAATTAAACGTTTTTACTATACGTCTATATTAGATTTATAGTTGTAGTATATTTATACGAATCCACTTTGGTATAAAAGACGTTTTTTTATGTACTACAATATACGTATGGATACCGTTGATATGCTACCCAATATATACGTGAAAATGTCCGCCCTATAAACGTATATTTTTTTTATTTTTTATACGTCTAACATTACTACTTTATCTACCTTTTATTATGCTGTTTGACTATACGTCTATATTAGATTTATCTTATTTTATTAATGTGTAAAATGCGTCTACCTGATATTATTTTAAATGTATTTCAAACACAAATTAAATAAAGTGATCAAAACAAAATTTGTAAAAGAGGCCATGGAAAAATGTTATTATTTCTTAAATGACAGTTTGGATTTTATCCATAGCAGGTGTGTATACACTAGAAATAGGTATTACTCGTGTTTCTATTTTGGTTGTAATTGGTCTAAATATTTAAGAAATTTTTTTGATCACTTGTTATATGTACAGAACAATATTTTATTAAAAAAAAATAAACAATAAAATACTAAAAAATAAATAAGTACTAAAAAGTAAACAGTAAAATACTGAATAACAAACTAAACGAAACTTTTCTTTAACTAACAAAAAATATATATGAAAATTAAAATCTTAGCTTAACACTTTGGATGTGTTGTGTCCTAGACAGACCTGAGCTAACTTAAGCCAATCTTGCATAGCACTTCTAATCGTTCGGTCGGTTAAGTCTCTTGGTTCACCTCCATTCCTATAACCAAAATGTAACTGCATTTCAGGTAAAATATTTTCTAAAAGCTCCAAAGTTAAATTTGTATTATTTTCTAGGAAATTATTATAAATAATAGAATCATGATATATTAATGTCCGAAGCCTTGTTAATGTTATCTTCACTGGGAATAAAATAAAAATGATTAGACTTTAAAACATCTTAACATTTTGTGCTATTTTTCTTAGTAGATGACGTCGAGACAGGGTTATTTTAGACATTTTATTAAATAAAAAACAACTGACCAACAAAAAGAAAAATAAGTATGCTTGGAATAACTAGGTAGCCTAAAAAATACGTATAGAAATACGTATAAAAATAAGAGAAACAAAAGTAAGGTTATGTTTTGGAGTTTCTATAAGCATTTTACACACTGTAATAAAACAGTAGTTGTTGTAAAATGCAACAATTATTAAACGAGTAGCTAAATTAAAACATTAATATTAACTTACCTATGCTTGTAACCAATATCGTAAAAGCCAGGACGCCAAAGCAACAAGCAATGCAACTGGGCACAACAACACCAACAATTTTACAAGAACTTTTTATTACATAAAAAGCAATTATCGTGGTTAGCAACTAGTTAACAGAAATATAACTTATAATAGCGTGAATCGTTTGATTGATAGCGAGCGCTTCACAGCCACCAGCCACCATCAGTCAGCTGATTCCCGATCGTCTGCCGGTACCTTACTCCTCTCTCGATTCTCTGCACTACGCGCACTTTGGACCAGCCCGACTTAGCTTAAAGCACACCCCGAATCTCACTCACTGAAACGACATGGACTAGTCCACCCCACCATGGTTATTGGCGGGTTATTTAAATGTTCGGGTGTTTGAAATCGGTACAATGGGGAATTTGTTATATTACAGGTAGTATAATTAAAACAATATGGTGTAATGTAAATAAATATATCTATAAGCTTTTAATTTAAATAAACCTAAATATATACATATTACTTACTTCTGTCTACTAGTTCATCGTAAACTGGTAATATGCGTTTAAGGTGACTTATATTTAAAAGTAGAATAATATAGGTATATTAACTAGTATCCACAAACAAAAGCGTTTAATTTAACTGTTAAAAAACGTTAAGTAAAAAAATGGTAGATGGTAAACGTTTAAAAATCAACCAAGACGAAATTTAAACGGGAGTTATAAACGAAGAACACATATTGTAATATTATGTAAATTTAGACGAATTTAATTTAAATAAACCTAAACGTATATTTAGGCCCACTGTATATAAATAGTTCATCGCAAACTAAAAATAGTCGTATATTGTTAACTACATTTAAACGTAGAAAAATTTACAATTATATACCATAGGATGTATACAAAAAACGTATAATATATCTTTTAAAATACGGCATGTATAATAATCGTAAACTGTAAACGTATACGGAATCAACCAATACCAAAATTAAACGAGTATTACGTATAAAATACGTTAGTTATACTAATGTGTGCTGCCTGGGCTTTTCCTGACTCAACTTCATGCAAAATAAACCTTGAAAACTCGCTATAATTTATTTGGTACAAATTACGCGTCCAGACTGAGCACGTACTGCGCACTGCCTCCCTTTGATGGACCGCCAACAAATGGATCTGGAGACTTATTCTCTAACCAACGTTTTTGAAAACGCTTAGCGCGTCTCTCTAGAAACGCGACAAACAACTCAAAAAAGCGTAAAGCACGAACGTTATGGTATTTTCTACTTGCTGTGCCGTGCGCATTTACAAAACGTAAAGCGCTTTCAAAAAAATTGCAGATGAGCAGCGTTTTGCTGTTCGCACTTCAAGTTTTGGCATAAGATTTGTGGACGTAGATAAGCCAAACACTTAAAATATGGACTTAAATAATAATATACAGGGTGTATCTAAATAACACCAAAAAAATTAAAGGGGTGATTCTGTGATGAAAATTAATGTAATGGTATAAAAATTTTTGAAAAAATCCTCCCCGGAAAAGTTACACCCCTTCGAAAATTAAAAGAAAAATGGTTTTTCTTTTTTATTATCCCTGTATATCAAGCTAAAGACACGAAACTTGGTAAACATTATCTGTCAATAAAAGTACACTTTTTGAAATTTTTTCAACCCTGAAGTATGCTTAGAAGGGGTTGAAACAATCAACCCCTAAGATATTTTTTCTTACAACTTTTTTTTAGATGAAAATTTTTTCTTTAAAAAAGTATGACTGAAAAGCCCAATTCATTGACTTTTATCTCTACAAGTTTTTTTCGAAAACTTAAGCATTTATGAGAAAAAAATAAATAAGCTCATGTAAAATAGCATTTTATTAAACAACAGCCAACCAAATTATGATTCTTAAGACTTCTACAACTAAAAACAAAAGTGAACAAACAATGAACAAAAACCTGTCGAATATCGACAATACAATTATAATAAATGTTGAAAATGACCGCCTTCAGCTTCAATACAAGCATCTATCCTTTTCCTCATAGAATTGCGTATACGATGAAATATTTCTGGAGAATTTCTTATAGTTTCACACCCTGCTACAATGCGGTTTCGCAGATCATCGATATTTTCAACTGGGTTTGTGTATATCAAAGATTTCGAATATCCCCATATGCAAAAATCCAAAGGATTAAGGTCAGGGGAGCGGGCTGGCCAGTTTACAGGTTCTCCTCGACCTATCCATTGATTGGCATACACCTCATCCAGGTGAGTTCTTGCACGTATACTAAAATGAGCTGGTGCACCATCGTGCATAAACCATATATGTTGCCTAATTTGAATGGGAACCTCTTCAAGAAGAACTGGTAATTCTTCAAGGAGATGACAATATGCTTCACCATTTAATCGTAGCGGAAGAAAATGGGGACCAATTAAATGATTATCAATAATTCCGAGCCACACGTTTAATGAAAATTGATCTGATGATTTCCTTTAAAGAAGCCATGAGGATTTTCGTCAGCCCAAAGGTGATTGTTGTGAAAATTTCTAATACAGTCTCTTGAGAAACTCGCCTCGTCAGTAAATAAAATATTACCTAAGAACTGTGATGCTTGGCCAATCATATTAATAAGCCACTGACAAAAAATCACACGGGGTAAAAAATCTCGAATCATTAACGCCTGCACCCGTTGAAGATGATAGGGATACAACATTTGTTCTTTTAAAATTCTAAAAACAACGGAATGGCTTACATGTAGGACACGAGCTATTCTCCTGGTACTAGTTTCTGGGAATTCTTCAATTGAATTAAGTACGGCTTCTTCTACAGCTGCAGTTCTAACTTCTCTAGTACGACCAGAATCATAACTTCTTTTTTCAAAATTACCACGTTCCCGCAAGCGTCGGTGAATAGTTGTGAACGTAGTATGATGGGGTAGTCTACGCTGTGGGTACTGTTCAGCATAAAGTCTTTGCCCTTCCAATGAATTACCGTTAGCACGACCGTATGTAAAATGCATATCTGCCATTTCCAAATTCGAATATGCATTCATACTTTCAATCAACTAATATTTCCTACAATACACAATCATAAAACTTGTGAAACAATAAGATGGGTAACAGAAAATGACACTACACAATCCTGGTATCAGTATTAATGTTTTTATGCAAAGCACAGGCCTACCAGACTTGACGCAAAATACACTTGCGTTAGCTCATCTTTTTGAAAATGCATTGCATTAGATTTTTTTTCTCGTAAATGTTCAAGTTTTAGAAAAAACTTGTAGAGTTAAAAAAGTTAGTCAATGAATTGGGCTTTTCAGTCATACTTTTTTAAAGAAAAAATTTTCATCTAAAAAAAAAGTTGTAAGAAAAAATATCTTAGGGGTTGATTATTTCAACCCCTTCTAAGCAAAATTTCAAAAAGTGTACTTTTATTGACAGATAATGTTTACCAAGTTTCGTGTCTTTAGCTTGATATACAGGGAAAATAAAAAAGAAAAACCATTATTTTTTTTTAATTTTCGAAGGGGTGTAACTTTTCTGGGGAGGGTTTTTTCAAAAAATTTTATACCAAACACTCACATTAATTTTCATCACAGAATCACCCCTTTAATTTTTTCGGTGTTATTTAGATATATCAAAATGTTATTCAAAACATCGACGATGTTGAAAATCTCGAGATCCGACGCTACTATAACCCGATGAATGCTTTCGAACTTTCAGATAAACAATTTATCAAGCTATTTCGTTTGCAAAAGGATGAAGTGACTAACTTAGCGGCTCTCATTGAACCTTTAGTGCTGAATCCACAAATAAACACTGCATTGACTGTAAATAGAAAAGTGAGTACTCAGATTTTAATAATTTAGATGATATAAAATATTATTAACTTTGAAATGTTTTTATATTTTAGCTATTAGCACAGTATGGCTTCCTTTTGGGCCCTAGAGAGTTCCTTTTTCACCGCGTTCATTTCTAATATGAATTAATTATTAATTATATTATTGTTATAATGACATTCAAATACTAACCTTAGTTATTCAAACCAATTAACATTTACGATTTATAATTAGAACAGCTTACGACAAAAATGAAAATCACTTGCGAATAGCAAAAGCGTCTAGCAATAAAAATACCATAATCGCATGCTTGTCGTTTTGGTGATCGAACTTTGTTGAGAAGTCCGCTTGGCGCTTTCGTTGCTATAAGTTTTCGGCTGAAAGTTACAGAATAACCCCCCAGGGCGAGGCCACACGTGAACAGGTGGATAACCATAAAACACCAAATTCACTGGCAACAGATAAGAGGGCACAGAATCAGTAAGCTCATGCTAAGGGAACCAAACCCACGCATGGCTACTGAGGCACTACAACTCGCAAGGCCTCAAATATCCACCATTGTGGGATTATTAACGGGGCACGGCTTGCTGAAACACCTCCATGTAATGGGATTACGCAATGATCCCACTACGTGTAGACTTTGCATGGAAGAGGAAAAAACCTCATACCATGTGATCTTCGAATGCGAAGCACTTACTGGGCGACGTTTCATCCTTTTCGGACAAGAACCGGAAAAAACGCCCCAGTAACACTTGGTAGGGAACCTATTTAAACTAAGCAAAGACACAGGACTATTCCAAAGATAGTACCTGAATACAGGGAAAGCAGGGGAATACAATAGACCCAAGAGGCCGCAGTGTTCTGGGCCAAACCTAACCCTACCTGCATAAACCGATAAAAATTAAAAACACCCACCTTAAGAATATGGTCTGATATTTGCGTTTGTTTTATGCAGTAAAGGGATAGCGCTTAACTTATCAGCTACTGAATGCACACTTTTCTTTTTCTTTTAACGACTTATTTAACTGTGTTCATACAAGAGCAAAAGAGATATAATTTCGAGTAAGAGAGAGTTGGGAAGAACAACTCAATTATTAAAAATTTTCCATGAGGAAGAAATATATAATTTTTAGGCGCTAAATGTTATTGAATATTAAACACCTGCAAATATATTTTTCTAGGAAATCGAAAACCGTTAAAAGTACGTTCTTGTTGCTACCAGGGAAGGCTTTGATATTGTGATTTTTTTAAATTCATGGTGTAATGTACAAATTTAATTATAAAATATATTTTTATTAAAAACTACAACCTAATGTATTAAATGGACGAGGAGTTCCCTGGGTAAAAGTAAAACAACAAACAAAAGATGGAAAAGAATGAGGCGTGGATAAGAAATCTATCCCAATAACTCTTTAACTGTTACCCGCCTTAAACGGGAAGAAGGCGTCAGTACTAAGTAAGTAATAACCAAAAATGGTGTATGCCAATCGTAAATAATAATACCTACATCTTCACCAAAACCATCAGTATTATTATAAAAATTTCTAACTTTAATTCCAAGACTGTTTTTTCATTTATCAAAAATCTTAAAATTATTAAAGTAGTCATTTAACAACAACAGACAAAAAATTACCTCTTTGGATTCCAATTTAATAATCCAAGTATCTAGATTTTTCAGTGTCATCCAGATGAATGATTTATACAACTCTTCTTCCCAATATTTATAATAAGGCGTCATTTGAGGTGACCGTCCTGAATTTGAAGCCAAAATCATCGATTCCAGTTTTATTAAAATCGGCGCAAACGAGTTGTAGATTTTCATTACTTTAGACATTTTCTCGGTACGCAAATTGTACATGTCGGTAAAGAAATCTTTACAATATATTTTTTCGATAGCTTCATTATCCTGAAAAATATAATAGTATTAATAATATTATTATTTTATTATTATAATAAATAGCTAGTTACTTACCACAACAAAATCAAAAAGATTTATTTGTGCCAGTGATTTTGTTCTCTTCATCAAATCGAATTCTACGTGTTCTACTTGAAGGTACAATGTTTTCAAATTATTTATCAGAGAAATATTGTTTGCTGCATAGTCGGCAATACCAAGAGATGACCATTTTATTCTTGAAAGACCGGGTTGAATATTAAGTTCAACTTCTTGCAGTTTTTCTTTTAAAAGATGCATCTATTTAAAAAAATAATATACATATATTGGTTTTCGCAAATAATAAGTAATCGGAACCTGCTATTCGTTATAAACACTATTTTATTAGAATGAGTCAAATAAACGTAGTTTTGTGAACAGAAGTGGAACTTTTTTCTATACTACATTTCCGTTCCAGGCCACACAAGCTAAAAGATGCCTGTTGGGACATGTAGGTTATCACTATTCATTTTTGTTAATTCTTTTTATAGCTATCGAATTGTTCAATTGTTATTAAGAATGTATCTATCACAGCTATCTCAGTCAGAAGAAAAATTTGAAATATTATTTCAGATCTTAGATAAAAAAGAGATCGGAGATATAACATTGCACACTGCGCATGTTGTCTATTTTTACCTTAAGTAACCCACCAATTGAAAATCATTATGTCCACGACGCCACCCGAATTTCAAATTGAAAATGCCACGATGTATCATGAAAAATTGTATATACAAATAATATAAGTGCCATTGTTATGCAAAATAAGAAATATTATATTCGTTTTCAGCGGTTAATATTTATTATCGTTTTGACATAAAGCCGCCATGATCCTTTGGGCTGAATACTTCAGATCCAAATTAAGGTGTTTCAATAAATATTGTTACGAAGGTTTTTGGTATCACAATTTATTTCAACTGAACTTTACAATAACTATAATTCAACTTTGACAATAACTTTACAACTGATAACATTCACGTATAACGTCTATCATAAAACTGACTCTCTGACGTCAGGTCCTCGACTTATATAGCTTGGCTGACCTTCTCGAACCTTCTCGACCTGTCATCTAGAATGTTCTTGACGGGTAATGACATTTCTGGACATTTCTGGAATATTCTCTTCTTTTACTTGTACTTTTACTTATGACGACCGAAGGCACACTGTAGAGCGATGAGTAACATTCCTTTTCTTCTTCTATCTGTACGTTTCCTATGATAGCCGCAAGCTACTGCAGGGTGCTGCGTAACAATATTAAGCATCAAATAAATATTTCAGAAAACAGATTTCATAATACATAAATTTCCAAAAGGGCAAACTTTTGAACATTTAATTTAAATAAGAAGTAAATAGTCATTGTTGCTAACGAAATTTTATTTTGATAAGGTATTTTTAAAAGAATATTAGATGAAATACAAGATGACCTACTTAAAATTTTAAGGTTCATCTAATTTATGGTCAAATCAATGACATTTGAATCTTAAATCTTTAAACAAAGTAAAACGCATAATATGATCTAGTATAAGCAAAAAAAAATACTAAAGTTACGGGAGTTAGTCACATTATTAATAAAATGTTACATTATAACCCCCTAAACAACTCGAAAAACTCTTCGTTTACTAAAAAAAATCTAAATTCTAGCAATATTAATTATTTATTATACAATCGAATGCGGTTTCAAAGATAACGGGATCAAAAAATCCGAATCACTAAATTTTGGAGCTAAATGCTCGAATAAAAGCAAGCGACCGATAGGGGTTACAAAAATAATCGATTTATCGATTATTCTGTTATTTTTTATGAAAATCGATTTATCCGTTATAATTAATCGATTATTTTCGATTAATCGGGAATTGTTAATAAATTATTTTCGTTTTTTAAGATAATCGAATAATTGATTTTAAAGGAAATACAAAGAGAAAGTAGATTTATTCTAAATAATCGACTGATTGAAAATAACCATTTTTTAGAAAAATCGATTTATCGTTTAAACGGCTTTTTTAATTATTCGATTATTTTCATTAGGCGAATATTCGAATAATTTGTTTTAAGGGAAATACGAAAAAATAGATTACACGAAAATAATCGATTGATTGAATATGATCGGTTAATTTATATAATCGATATTTCGGTTATTTTTTAGAACTATCGATCTATCGGTTAATCAGCTTTTTATTAATCGATTATTTTAGATTTTTCAAAGATAATCGAATAATCAATTTTAAATGAAACATGAAAAAAAAAGGGATTATTTGAAAATAATCGATAAATCTAAATTTTTTTTGGAAAATCGATTTATAGTAGAATTTGCTTTTAACTAATTGATTAATCGATTATTTTCGATTAAGCAAATATTTTCGGATAATCTATTATTTTCTATATTTCAAAGATAATCGAATAATTAATTTTAAAGGAAATACGAAAAAATAGATTATATAATCGATTATTTGAAATATTCGATAATTTTTTTTTAAAAATCGATTTATCGGTTAATCGACTTTTTCATTATACGATTATTTTTGATAAATCGATTATTTTAGATTTTTCAAAAATTATCGAATAATCTGTTTCAATGGAAATACGAAAAAAAATTATTTGAAAATAATCGATTATTTAAAATAAACGATGATTCGTTTATTTTTTGTAAACACTGATTTATCGGTTAATTGGCTTTTTAATTAATCGATTATTTTTGATTTTTCAAAGATAATCAATAAATAGTCGATTTTAAAGAAAATTCAAAAAAATAGTTTGTTTGAAAATAATCGATTGATCGAAAATATTCGATTATTTCCAATGATCTATAATTTATTTTGATAATCACCCGTCCCTAGCGACCAGATGACTTTTAATAGGTTTAAATTTTGAAATGTTATGTGGTTTCAGACATATGCATTTCTAGAGTTTTATGTGACTCATCCTCTATATTTATTAATATTCCTAAAGCAGCTTTAATATACTTTTTTCTGAGGTTACAATACAAAATAGCATTTTCTCATTTGACTAATTTTTAATATTAGGTAATAGCAGTAGAAAAAATATAATGTTCAATTTACAAGGTTTGATTTGCAGTATTCGCCTGCGCATATGCTTTTTTTATAATACTCGTAGACAATGAGTACCATTTCTTGCTCGTTAACAATATTCTATTTCAACATTTTACTGTAGTCTCTTACAGAAAAGTCCGTAGCAAATAAACGCTAACGAAATATTCTATAAAAGGTCTACTCTTTACATAAAATGTCGTAGCATCTGTTTGATATTAAAAAATCACATTAATTTTATTTCATAATACAAAATTCCATTAAAAATCTTTTAAGTAAATCTAATAGTTCATTATGATGCTAATTAGCAAATTCCGTCCCTGTCACAGACTTCGGGTCTCCGCCCAGTTCCCCTACTCCTTTAACCTTTTTTTAGAAATTGGCAACATTTGCGCAATTTAAACACCGGTGTATGTTATATATCTGGTCTCTTTTATCTAAGTTTTAGATTTATTTTTGCTTATTTTTTAATATCTTTCCACATTCAATTAAATTATAATTTAACTGACAAACTAAAATTTTCGTTCTTGTAAAGCCGGCTACTCACTACGCGTTACTTGCCGAGTTACTTGACTTGGACTGAACTTGGCAAGTACTTGTTCGAGTACAAGTAAATCGTCTACATTACGCGCGCGCACAACGTGGGTAGCGAAACACTTTACTCGGATCCTTTGACTTCGGTCCGTTTACCGACAACCGACGGGAAGTACAAATAACTTGCTGAGTCTATACAAGTCTCCATACACATTACATGGTACTTGCAAAGTACTTGGCAAGTAACGCGTAGTGAGTAGCCGGCTTAACATAAACTACTATTATGTTGCAGTCGAAATTTTAAGCACTTCTCGAGTTACGTCATCAAAGAAAAGTGCATGATGAAACTATTTATTTCAGTACACTTGTATTGCTTAGTTAAAGTTTTCAAAAAGTCTTAACAATTCATCGATACACAGAATTACTATTTCGTAAAAGAAAGAACTTAGTTACCTGAGATTCATTTAATTTATCAATAATTTCATTATACATGCTGATCATGTTTCCAACGGCATTGAGGTTTCTCTGAGTCTTCTCTTTCTGGATCGCGATCATTCTAAGGCTATCGGGAAGCACAAATTTCATAGTTTCGAGTAGTTCAACGCTCTTAAAACAGGACCACAAGTTGTCGTCGAAGTTTATTTCGAATTGTAAACCTATATTTAGCAATAAATATAGACATTTTATTTTTAATTTTACAGATAAAACTTATAGAGTAAAATTGAAAGACTTAAATGGAACATGAATGAAATTAAAAAAAGGAAGAATTAATATTATTAATATTATATTATTATTATTAAATATGCTCTTCTCTATCCGAGTGGATTATACTCCTTACCATGTTTCATTGTCTTTTCAGTCTCTTAATAACAAACAAATGGTTGATAATAAAGCAATACTTAAATTGAGTAATAAATTAAAATTAAGTTACCTATGTCGGCTGCCATATGATTTCCAATTATTTCGTGCCAGGTCAAATTTCTTTGAGTTTGAATTTTTTCAAAAATTTGCTGTGCTGATTCACTAGTGATGCTCGTTTCGCGGCGACCCTTTGATTCCCTACTTTTTGCTAAAAAAAATAGAAATTAAAATGTTAATTACAACTTTCGACACTTCTAAAATAAGCTAAAATGGCTACATCCAACTGGAAAGAAATATATTAGATAAATGTATCGCTGCTTTAAAACACATTAGTCCTCTTAAATCGTCCATGGTCCTGGTTGTTCAGCAGCTGAAGAGCTGCTGCCTTGATGTGTAGACTTAAAGCTTGTCAGGAAGTTTATCTTAAGAGTTTAGGTCATCCATGATTATAAACTTTCTACAGAATGTTTCTACTTCTAATATAAACTTTTTAACGCATAAGTGAAGAAAATCTGTAAAACCACAACCGTCACCATCAGTCCTATAATCGCGGATAAAAAGCATAAAAGTATTAGAAAGAGATAATTTTTTAGGTGTCACAATATTTTAAACATACTGCAGAAAAAATAAAATAATATTTCAGAACTGACTTGTGTCCTATACCTGTATTCACACTGCCCGTACTCAAAGATTTTGAGGGAAAAGGTCGAGTGACGCCGATAGCAGAAGTAGCACCAACTGGAACAGCTGCACCAGTGTTCTTCTTACTAAAAGACAATTGTTTCTTCATCCCCATTTTCAGAATATCCATTTGCATTGCTTTTTCCATGGTGGCTCCAAAAGTTTTTACCCAATCAGTGAATTTACCTAAAATAATTAAATTTTTATTCATAAACAGACAACTTCTTCTCTGGACCTACTGCACTTTGTTTTTTTTTTTAAATACCATCTCAAGTGTGACATATCGTTAAATAATAATTCACGATTCATATTAGTTTTCGCGCGCCTACCATTTTTCACCCATAAATACTTAGATAAGGAAAAAGAGATGACGCGTAACAAGTATATCAAGCACTCGTATTGTGCTGATTATTATGGTAGTCGTATTATGACCGTCATTATTTTGGTGCTAAGAATTGCGGCGACACCACAGCTTCTTACTCGTGTTTATTTGTGATTTTTTAAATTAAACGACATTTGATAATTGGTTTGTTACAATGGTTTATTGTGTTTAATATCAGTGTTAAAGTCGTAGCGACAAGAAATAACTAGATATTACGTTTCTAAAGTAAATTATCAACATCAGTCATTTATACTTTATATATTTTCTTATATTTTTCATTTTATTTGGTTATTAACCAGTTTGGTATTTATATATTGTACGTGTCTCATTCCAGAGTAAATGTTACCCACCAAGTTTGTTTATTTTATGCTTTTCATTCATTTTAAGCAATTAATGATATTAAAATTGCCAAACGAGCATATTTTTCCAGAGGCGTGTCATACAATTCTAAATATTAACTTTTATTAAATTCCTAATTTACTTTTGATATTTGTATTTTGCTTTTTAAACGTTTTTTATTTATTTATTTATTTGTTGTTTTATTTTAGATTTCCTGTGGATTTAGCAAAAAAATCTAAGCATAAATATGCGATTTTATTTTTACATTTTGTGGCGGATATGTGTATTTTTGATTTCCTAATTGTTTTCTTGTTTCGTTTAATGTTTTAATTTATACAGAAGTTGATTTTGTGTTTCCGTGATATATTTATCATGAATTTAAGACAAAATGTGTTGGCAATTTTTACCGATCTAGATCCAATTATAACACATACATTTAACAATACTCTAGTATTTCAAATTGTGGTAATATACGCGATCGTCCGAACTGCGGCTATTAATATTGGAATTTTACAGAAAGCTTCTAGATACTTTTAACATACTAACAATTTTAGGTTAACTGACACTAAAATTTTAACTTGAAGCTTTAAAATTTTTTCTCCAGGTCTCGACTATAAAAAAATTTGAGTTAAATCATTTTAATTGATTTCGTGTTGAAACGGCATCCCGCAATGATTCCAAACCGTATGGGTCTAGACAGTATAGCGCACCCAAGAAATCAGAGGGAAGCCCAAAGGATGTTTAAAAAAGTCCATAGGTTCGAAACAACCGGCATTAGATTCAAGCTTATCCCTGTTCCAGGCCGTATATATAGCAAGCTTAAGATACGGTTTCGCTAGAGCCGTCAACGGCCACTGTCGACGGTCGCCGTCGACGGCAATCGTTGAACGCCATCTTGTCATGTATTCTTTGGCTAGCTGCCAACAGTCACTCTTTGGCGTCCACGAGCACCTAGTTGTGCATCATGAAGAGAAAACTAGCTCCTTGCTTTTATTAGAGGAGGAGGAAGACGACGAAACTATTAATTATTTAATAATGAAAAAAAGATCGATACCTTATGATATTTTCATCACAAGACGTAGCGAAGGGTTTTTCAGTTTACTGATTAAAGCACATTTGAAAAGCGATGAGAAGAAGTTTAGAGAATTTTTTTGATTCAACGACAATCAATTTTACTTCGTGCTTTATAGAGGAAAATTATTTAAAGGAGGCGTCGACTTATGCAGTTAAATACCCCCATAACTCCAGAAGAAAAGTTGGCTTTAACTTTAAGGTAGGTACAGTAACAATATTTACATTTTAAAAGTTTTATTGCGTGAATAAACATTCTGCGAACATATTTTAAATAAACTAAAGACAGATTCATATTACATGCATTTCTTGGTTGTACCATAAGTTGTACCTACAGAAAGTTTCTAGAGGTCGATGAAATTCAAATCACTGTCTCCATGAGATCTGGTGGAAGGAAAGGAAAATTGTGTATGTGGATCTGGCGATATGTTGGGAAAATCATAAGATAACTGAGTATAATTTGAGAATGTGTAAGAATGTAGACTTGATGAAGTGGGTTGTAGAGTGTCACGAAATTGCAGCCGATTTACTAGGGATAATATACCCACTTTTGCTTCAGCTATTAACTAAGGAGGTAACTTTTGACCTTAACTGCAATACTGCGCATAAAAATATCAATTTTATCTTCGTCTTTCAATATCTCCGTTATAAATGCAGAGTGCTCTGCCGATTGCTCCTTCAAATCTCCGAGAAATTTGGAATCAGATGTGCGTTGCTGACGGTTTTTGAAAGAGTTTGTCGTTGATTGAGTTGAGGGTGTTGATTGAATAGTAGATGCTGTTTTATCTTCGCCATTTTGCGATGAAACGTCATTTGTTGAATTTTCATGTTGTTCTTGAAAAACAAGATTGTAGGAATCTGTCCCTATTGATTCTTCCATCAAGGTATATAAGAATTACCTTCGTTTGGTCGTAACTGAATCTAAAAATAATAGATAGGACCATTTTGGACGCTTAATAGTTGGCTATCCTGTGGTAGTCTTTTGGCTTGTCTTAATTTTCAAATAAGAATCTTTGATACATTTCCATCTTTTCTTGTACTCGTCCACTAAAAAGAAAATAATTTATAACAAATCCTAACTTGTTACTTTTCATGTTTTCCAATGCTATTACTAAGTAAGTTAATTTTTTTACAGGTTTATGGCAACAGGAGAGTCATATCGATCAATGTCGTTCGCATTTCGCATTTCACACAGTAACATCAGCGTTTTAATCAAAGATGTTTGGGGAGCTTTGCGACAACATCTAGTGCTACTATTATTACCATCGTCAAGTCATAATGTTTTAACACAAAACTCTTCAAATTTATACAGGAAATGGAATTTTTCTCATCGTGTGGCAGCGATTGATGGGAAGCATGTAAAAATAAAGTGTCCAAATAACAGTGGATCCCTCTTCTTTAATTATAAGGAGTACTTTTCTGTTGTGTTGCTTGCAATGGTAGACGCCGACTGCAAATTTGTCGCTGTTGAAGTAGGATCGTATGGGAAAGAAAAAGACAGCGGTATTTTTACAAAAAGTGATATGGGAAAACTGGTATACTCTGTACATTTCTTCCTTCCAGATGAAGAATGTTCTGGTTTAGGAAAAATAATGCCTTATGTGATAATAGGAGATGAAGCCTTCCGCTTGCATAAACACATAATGAAATCATTTACCAGAGCAGTAGCACGAGGAAACAAAGAAAAAACTATATTCAATTATAGATTATCTCGTGCACGTAGGGTTACCGAAAATACATTTGGCCTCTTTTCACAAGTTTTTTGCATTTTCAATACGCCGATTGCTGTTGCTCGCGAGACGTAATGATTTAATATTATCAGCTTGCTGGCTCCATAACTTACTAAAAACAGCATATTTGGAACAATTTGGGACATCGTATTTTAAATATGATTCAACCAAACCAGCGACCGTTGGCTTGGCACCATTGGTACGTTTAGGATGTTTTAGAAATAACGATGGTTTGGAAATCAGACAAAATTTCACCATATTTTTTAACAAAGTTCAATATAGTATGGTAACAAATTTGAATTTTTACTTACCACTCCTCTCAGTCTCCTTTGCGATAACTTCCCATATAGGTATTGTCTTTTATATGTTGGTTTTTATAATCCACATTTTCACTATCATAGATTGCCTATGCGAACTGATTGCATTTATTAATGTTTCATCATCTATTGCCGAAAACTTTGGTGCCTTTTTTTATATTATTTGTAAACAAAACACACAATCGCTTTCGACGGCGCGTTCAGACTGGTATATCAAGCAGTCACGCGCTGTCGGCAGCGCCGGGTAAATACGGCGGTCGCTGTGAGACGCGCTAAAGGAACCATAATCATTGAATCAAATGAATAGCAGTGGGCACCGTCAACAGCGGCCGTTGACGGCTCCAGCGAAAACGTACCTTAAGAAATCAGAACGAAGGCGGAGGATGTTTGAAAATAGTTCGTGGGTTGCAAAGAACCTCGCAATGGCTTCAGGCCGTATGTGTCTAGGCCATACAGCGTTGCCAAGACATCTGTCAACTCGACAAAACTTGCGGGAAAATGGGTTAGGCAAAATTGGCGGATCATCCGATTTGACTATTAAAAGTTTTCATATATTTATTGACGCTTGGGTATTTTCGTCATCTGTCATATGTACTAAGATATGACGTCATCGGATGAAATTTTAAATGGATCACCCTGTATTTATATTTTTTCAGACAAATCTTTTCTTTCTGAATCCATCAATATGCGGTTCTGTGGGCTCTGACTTACCTTATCTTAAGAAACTAATAAAACGGAAAGGTAACCGTTGTTTTGAATTATTTATGAATAACTAACCGCATATTTGTCTATACTATAACCATGCATGGTATAAAAATTCAATGTACCAATTTGAATTGTTTTGCCATGGTTTTACTTTTCGACATTAGGTATAAAATGTCATTTCATTAATCTGTAGATTTTAATTAATTCTGGTTTATAGAGAGACAATTAAACAAAAGTCTGTTCATTTCACCCACAAACTAACCCAATACGTGACAATAAATCACTCATAACATTTAATACTAATGACAATTTTTATTAATTTAAACCATGATTAAAAGTCAAAGTGAAAGAATTACACTATTGATGATTATTGAGTTTGGAGACAGAAAGAGATATCTCCAAGAAGCTTGTGATTTATTTAATGAAACATTTCCTGACAGGATTTTCCGATTTCTAAATCTACAGTATCCAGACATTTGAATAAGTTCAACTACACAGGAAACATGGAAAACAATTTCAGATGTGAACGAAAGAGGAGGACAGCCACTGATGAATAAAATGTACTTAATATGGTTGTAAATGTACAGGAAGAACCAAAACCTTCAGTTCCAAAGCTTGCGTTAGTTCTGTAAAGGCGCGTTC